ACACAGAAAGGGAATTAAACAAAACAAATGAGGTGTCTGCGTCCACATCCTGGTGTGCGGCGGTCTCTTTAATTTTAAGAACACTGGAGTCCTCAAGCAAGCCTGGAGGTCTTGTCTTCTTTTGATTTTTACCTATCACCTCCTGTCTCAACTTATAAAATCGGTACTATTAAAATCGTTTAAAATAGCATGACAAAAGATATCAGCCAGTCTGAAGGGATGGCTGTGGTAAACACTCGATCTCCCAGAAATTATCTGTCTCACTGACCTCCCGTTGTGGCTGTGGTCACAGTATTTCCACACACACATTCATTAGCCTTGCTGTAGATGACTTGAGTGTGGGGAGGAGGGGTGGGTGCCAGAAGGGCTGAGAGGGACAGTCCTTTGGCGCCCCCTGCTGGTTGTAATGTGTAGCTGTTCTTAAAGGTTCCTCACATCTTTTCCCTAATTAACTTTTTTATTCATATTACATCCCAATCACAGCCCCTCCTCCTCTCCTCCCAGTCCCCACCTTTACAAGGCTGTACACTCATTACTCCCTCCCCTTCTCTGAGGAGAAGGGGAAGCTCCACCCCCACCCCCACCCCCACCCCCACCCCCACCCCCACCCCATACTACCCCACCCTGGGACATTTAATCCTCCTTTCCCACTGAGATCTAACCAGGAAGTCCAGGTAGGGGGGAGGGGACCCAATGTCAGGCAAAAAAGAGTCAGAGACAGGACAGCCCCCCCTACAGTTGTTAGGGAACCCATATGAAGACCAAGCCGCACATCTGCTACAAATGGGGTAGTTGGAAGGGAGGGTATAGGTTCAGGCCTTGCATGCTCTTTGCTTGGTGGTTCAGTCTCTGTGAACCCCCATGGGCCCAGATTAGTTGACTCTGTAAGTCTTCCCGTGGTGTGCTTGACCCATCCAACTTGATCAATTCTATCCCCAACTCACAAGACCCTCTGTCTCAGTCAGGGTTTCTATTCCTGCACAAACATCGTGACCAAGAAGCAAGTTGGGGAGGAAAGGATTTATTCAGCTTACATTTCCACATTGCTGTTCATCACCAAAGGAAGTCAGGACTGAAACTCAAGCAGGTCAGGAAGCAGGAGCTGATGCAGAGACCATGGAGGGGTGTTACTTACTGGCTTGCTTCCCCTTACTTGCTCAGCTTGCTTTCTTATAGAACCCAAGACTACCAGCCCAGGGATGGCACCACTCACAACCGGCCCTCTCACCCTTCATCACTAATTGAGAAAATGCCTTTACAGCTGGATCTCATGGAGGCTTTTCTTCAAGGCAGGTTCCTTTCTCAATGATAACTCCAGCTGTGTCAAGTTGACACACAAAACCAGCCAGCACAGCCTCCCTCCACCCCTGGCTGCCTCCACCTTGGTTCTGCCTGATTTTTGCCTATGGGTCTCTGTATCTGTTTCCATCTGCTGCAGGATGAGACCTCTCAGAGCAGAGGTCCTCACATTTTCTGTCAGTGTAGAGGAACTAGTAAGAAAGGTACAATAGAAAGACTACCAGGGCTGGGGATGTCACTTGAGAAAAGATTGCTTGCCTGTCACAAGCAAACTCTAGGTCCCATCTGTGGGGATCTACGAAGGCAGGGGTGCAAATAGCCAGTTCTTCTTGATCTTACATACACACCAGTTGAGTCATCTTCCTGAGAACCAGTCTGTACCTGAAACAAAAACCTGAACAGAGCCACCCCAACAATACATTAAATTCTGTGTAAACATAATACCCTTGCATCAGGCCTTAAGGAAACCTACGTTTAAAGAAACCCTGAAACAAGTTATCATCCCAAAGGACTAATCTACTCCAGATCCAACAAGGTCATGATTTTAGATTTTGGGGGTTTGTGTGTTCATTTGTCGTTTTAAAGGAAGCTAGCACTCCTACACTGACAAACTGCTCTCCCAATTGTTCTAAGCCGTCATCGGACACACATTTGATACCGTTTTGACTTTGTAATTTTTTAGTCACTACTTGGTGCCCTTCAGTGGGTGTGTTGTGATATACAAGCTACCTATAAGGTTGAGCCATTCCAGGTGGCAGGGAGTGCTTACAGGGCCCAAAGATGGATGGTTATATTAAACTTGCATGCAAGAAACGTGGGCCACTCTGTCCAGAGGGCTCCTGACAGGAAGCTGTGGATGATGGCCGCCAGATGTGAGACCTCTGGCCCACAAGTCAGTAAGCTGTGAGGTGGAGGAGGTACATCTTGGAAAGGCTTTCTGCTGATGTCAGAGTTTCATATCCAAGGCTCAGTTTGTATCAGGCAGAAAAGACACAGTGTCTAACTTAGGTAGATGTACTGGCCTAGGAAATATCTGGCAACTGGAGGACCTAGGGTAAGGACAGGTGGACCACCTGGGAGATTTCCTTACATCCAGGAAAGGCCTTTCTCAAGGGGCTCATATCTGGAGAGGAACCTGAGAGAGCTGCTAAGATTAGCTTCACAAAATCCAAAGAGAAAAGATAGCCCTTAGTGTGGACTCTCAGGAGCCTTTCAGAGTGCTATAGGATGAGTTATGTCTCCTGCTAGGGAAACAGAATATTTTAACAGTTCTGAAGCTCTTTCTCAGGACCAGAAAACAGGGCTTCAAAATGAAACAAACAAACAAACAAACAAAACAAAAAACTGGGCATCCTAGTGAAAGCAGAAATATTTGATGATCCTGGCTTTAAAAGAGCAAATTCGATCTGAGGCTGCATGGTAGGAGAGAGGCGAGATTCCTGTAAGGTTTTGAGATTTAAAGCAATAGACATTAATGAAAGCGACCAGAGAAGTAATGCTCCCCAAGTAAGGTGGTATTAATACTATTTGACAGCTGCATATTCTGAGGCCCTGGATTTCAGAAAAGGTGTTATTAGATTCAGGAAAGGATTGCGAAACGACATAGCTATAAATATTCACTTCACATTAAGCAATAATCCAAGCCTCTGGCAACTAAGTTTATTTCTATTTAGAAGAAAAAGAATACCAGGGAGGCTAAAATATTTCCAGAGATGGACTAAAAGGGGGAAAAAGTGATAAAGAATGTCATTCTTTTTAAAATGATGGTATTGGAGCTATTTAAAACGTAGGACTCTGACAATCCATTTAATACTGTCAATCCCACTGCTTAATGATGGCCAATGGCTCCAGGTAGACCATCCTTGATAAGGGAATTCCATTCTTTTCAAAAGCCTTTCATGCAGATGTGCCTAATGGCCCCTGTGTTTTGCACACAGGTTATTTTTCTGTTGGACTCCAAAGGGCAAGTATCTACATTCCCTGTTGATGACTGGAAATTGCTTAAGATGATACAAGATTTATGAATGAAGAGAAGATGCTACCACAGGGCTTGAAATAGTAGAAGCTATTTTAGAATCCAGCTGGAAAGACTTTTCATATTTTTAAATGTGTGTGTGTGTGTGGTGTGAGCGTGTGTATTGTGTATGTGAGTGTGTATGTATATATCTGTGTGAGTGTGTATTGTGTATGTATGTGTGTGAGTGTATATAATATGTGAGTGTGTGTCTATTGTAGGTATAAGAGTGTGGGTATGGGTAAGTGTATGTGGTGTGTGTGTGTGTATTGTGTATGTGTGTGAGTATATATGTGTGTATACATGTGCGAGTGTGTATGGTGTGTGTGTGTATTGTGTAAGAGTGAGTGTATGTGGTGTGTGAGCGTGTATATTGTGTATGTGTATGTATATATGTGTGTGAGTATATGTGGGGTGTGTGTGTGTGTGTGTGTGTACATGTGGGGGTCAGATGACAACCCTCAGGATGAGGTTTTTTTTTCTTTCTACCATATTGACCCTGAGGAAGGATCTCCGGTTGCCTGGTCTCACACATTTTCTCACTAGCCTTTAAAAGACTTATTTTGGGGAAAAAAATAACACAGGAGTAGAAAATACATTAGATGACGAATTCATATCCCTGGAAATACTAAGGAAGCAGCTCAAGCACTCAGGTGTCTTTCCTCCAGAGCGAGCGGCTGGCTTTTGCTGGCTGTTTCTTACCACCCATCTGCGTCTCCCCACCCCATGTCTGTGTTAGCTCCCATGAGAGATGTCTCGCTTGTGACGGAGATCCCACAGCAGATGTCAGGTTCTGGTGACTGTGTCCTGAGTGGGCTGGTGCTGACAGACGAAGATGTAGGCTCCGCTTCTTGTCAGTTTGTGAATGGGGCTGTGAAGGGTTTGTTCATTTCCTCCTCCCAGGATGGGATCCCAGGCCATATCTGCTGTGGTGATGCGAAGCACTTCAGATTTGCGTGTCGAGAGAGACTGGCTTCGGGAGGGCTGTTTGGGGAAAGAGTACAATAAGGTTCATTAAAAATAGAAATACTTGGCCCTGTTTGCTTTTATTCCTGGTATCTTTAGAAACAGTCTTGACTGAGTGGCTCTCCTGCCAAGGCATTTTTTTTCCTTGAGTGGTTAAAGGACTTGAACCCCATCTGTTCTGCTCTCCACACTCCCGGAGCTCCTTCTCTCGGTCTCTCTGCAATCCCATCCACAACCCAGCACTGCCTTGATGCTTAGGTATTTGAAAAGTGCCAAACCGATCTTTCCCCAGTAGATCAGAGAGGTCTGCCTCTTATCCCTAGCCAAAACTACCATGCTGTCCCAGATCTCAGCATAGGGTGCCCAGTTCCCTCCTTGTAAGCCACCGCTGAGAGAATGTAGCAGATGATACACACATCTCTTCGTAAAGTCAGAGTGCAGGCATCGTTCGCCTTTCCCGTGACATGAGACCCACAGCTGAGAAGCAAGGGGCAGAGGGACCTGCACTGACTAGAATGCACAGCCTTACCCTGAAACAGAATGCCTTGCACAGTGCTTAGTGTGAGATTTATGGAATGGCTCCTCTCCCAGCCTTGTCCCCGCTTCCTCTTATGTCTCCTCTCTGCTGCTTTGTTGCTACGAAACAGCCTTACTTTATAAGCCATTGAGATGGAGCAGGGGGAGGAGGCTGTGACGGACGGGCAGCGGTGGTAGTAGTAGTGAAAGGCACAGCTCTGCCCGATGACATGTAGCGGGACCTCTGCATCAGCCAAGAGGAATTAAGCTTTGTCACTCCCCACTGGGACTACCTTTCTCCTGGTATGTGCGCAAGGAATTCATATGCTGCTGCTCGCCGCCGCAGCCACCCGAGCAGCCCCGTGTACACTTTGCCAGAGAGCAGGGAGCAAGAATGATAGCTGTCTCTTTTAAATGCCGCTGTCAAATTCTAAGGCGACTTACCAAAGGTACGGTACTTTTTTCCTCCTTCGCAGTGTGTCTGCTTCCGCAGCCCAGAACCACAGCTGAATGGTTTTTACTTTCAAATATGACTGCCTTTTTACAGTTTATTGTCGGGCAACAAAGAACTCAGAGAAATCTGTACAGATCTCTCTGTATAGGTAGACTCCCCAGGTCTGTGCTGGTTTATCCTTGCTGGGTTTGTGGTGAAATTGTGTGTGTGTTTGTGGGGGGGGAGCTTGTGTGATTTTTTTTTTTTTTAATGACTTCATTCTTGCAGAAAAGCAGATGTGTCTGGGTCTGGTGCTGAAGTTATTACGGGAAGCCGTCATTTTGCATGCTGATTATCTGGTCAAGAGAAGTCAAGTGTGCATGACTGTCCTTTCTGTGGAAGAGATGCTAAATGCAGCTGGTGGCTTCTGGACCTGCACAGCTGTTCAGTCCATGGAATAATTGTTTATTAATTCCTCAAATCTCATGAGCCTTTTACCAGGACAGTTGTAAAATTGCTGTCTCTCCTCTCTCTCTCTCTCTCTCTCTCTCTCTCTCTCTCTCTCTCTCTCTCTGCCTCTCTCTGTCTCTCTCTCTCATTCCCCCACTGTGTGTGTGTATCTGTGTGTATGTGTGTGTCTGTGTGTGTTAGAAATACATGTTCAAATATGTTAGAAAATTCAGAATTATTTGGTCCTATGTGATATTTGAAGAAGTTTATTTGAAAGTAAAAATACAAGCATGGCCTCATGCCTTCACTTCAAGATTTATTGGCTTGAAATCGCCTCTCTTAGATGTCTGAAACATTAATGACACTTCAGATGTGCTTTTTTTTGTTTTAAGTCAGCCTAGTTGTACCTTCTGCTTTGCCTGTACACCTTGTATTTCGAAGTTATCGAATGGCTCCTTTTCCTGATCCAGCCTTCTAAACATGGAGAAGGACAAGTTTCTCTTGCCTGTTACCCTCAGATAGATCTTTAGAGAGACACGTACGACTGAAGAAGAAACTTTGGTCTGCGGAGGGAGAGATGGCTGGAAATGCCTTTCATGTTGAGCCTGTAATCAAGTACCGCCAAGTAATTAATGGCTGTAATTATGTTCTAGAAGCCCCGAACCTATAAATATGTTAATGGATGCCATTTCTATCAGTTTACCCTGACATATCAGAGTTCTTTGATCACCAGCAGTGCAGCTAAAAATGCAATTAATATTTTATTTGGCAGAAGAATGCGCACAAAGCAAATAGTGACAAATAGGCCTGAAATCAGTAACAGGAAAGAGAATAAATACTGTAAACTAACTTACTGAGTGCATTTGAAAATTCCAGAGATAGCTCAATGACCCTTAGGAGGGGTAAGGCTATTCCTTTCAAATTAGGCTATTAGCATAAGATTGTAAATTATGTTTGGCTTTATCCTTTCCTGTTGGTACAAACTTACTATTCCTGTTTGCAAGTCATAATTAAAAGGCTATGCTCTATGTCAGAAGCTAGTCTAAGATAGGTATCTCACTCAAAAAGTTCTTGGCCTAGCTGAGCACTTATTTATCTTGGTGTTGCGAGATTAATTGCTCTTAAAATAGTGAAGCGATAATTCTCTTCACGTGAATCAGAAATTCTTTTGTAGGTTCTACCTTCAAGAAAGGGAGTGAATCCAAATAATTTTTAATTCTTAGGATTAATTTTTTTCCATTTTTTCCTTGAGTCTTACAGAAGCATCAATCTGCTGCACTGCAAAGAGATTTAATTGTTTTTCCAAGATAGTTGCTAAATACCTAGACAACTGGGGACAGTGTGCATCCCTTTTTTTTTCCCAAGTGGCTACTCCATATCACTCCCAAAATCTTTACATATGCTCTTCTTGGCATTTACTGTAGGGCTGCCAATTCCTCATGAAAATCTCCCTGATAGCCCCTTGTCTTAACGAGACAGACCTCAGTACTGGGCTGGATATTCAAATGTTTGCAGAAAGACCCCTGAGTAATACAGCTTGTGCCTTGCCAATCACCTGCAGCCTGGTCAAAGTCCAAGTCCCAACAATGCTACCTGTTGTTCCAAAAACACTCAGTGAGCTCCAGAATGCACCCACGGCCGTGTAGTATTCTCGTAGGCTAACAATGAAACAAACACACGGAAGCAGAGCCTTAAATTCCCCTTTTCGGATGTTTTAGGATACAGCAGGATATATCTTTGAATGAGGTTGCTTCCTTGTCCATTCGCTCTGTCCACATGCCTCACACCTGGTACCCAGACACATGTGTCTCTTACTCCCGTTGAGGACTGTACCAATCCTCTCTTTTCTAGATGCTAAGCATTGTGCCTTGTGAATAGAAGACACTTAGAAAGTGTCTATTAAAAAGAACTGGGTATGTCTGGTTAAAAGAGGCAGAACATTTAATTATGTGGGCATTCTCAGTAAATACTTCAAGAACTTCATGTCAGCCTTACCCAGATCTTAGGGCCAGGGAGACCTGCTTTATGTCTCTAAAACCACCTTGCTACGTGAGGCCAACCTGCTTAGGAAAAAAAGCAATATGGCGCCTGTATGTTCTCTTAATTCTTTCAAGGGGAGTTAAGGGGAAAGAGATGCATTTAAAGGGAAAGTTGCCCTATCAATCCTACATTTTTAGTGCTTGGCTTCATCCTTACATTCTTCGTCTGTTGGTCATCTAATAAATACCTACTCAGAAACTCTAACATTCCTGGAACTGATGTTTTTATAGCGGAACCTGGACTCAGTGTCTTACAGGTGTATCAAGCAATTCTAGTCAACATACTATTGAATAACTACTAATTTTCTTTCATTGGTATTACAATATTAATATGCATCTCCTAGATTGATCTCTGAGCCATCCACATAGACTCACGGGACCCCACAATCCTAGTTGAGTGCGTATTTCAAGTAAACTTAGTGTTTCTCAGATTTGGAAATTGAATTCAGACAACTGAGAGAGACAGAGATGGACAGATAGAGATGGAGAAAGGGGAGAGACAGAGAGACAGGGAGACAGAGACAGAGAGATCTGTCTGGTTTAAAGGTTGAATGGATACAGAGATGGATAGAGATGGAGGTAGGAAGAGATAGGTATATACAGAGGGTGTGTGTGTGTGTGTGTGTGTGTGTGTCTGCCTTTTCATGTCCCCAATCATCAAAGAAAATAACCTTTGACCCCAAGCCTGTCCCTGCATTTTGACAGGAGAATTGATTCACTCAAGGGCCACTGTCCATGTTGGGGATCTAGAGGAGCCATGCCATCTTTTCCTTCTCCCTCCCTCTGCAATGAGCCGTGTCCACAGTGTCCCCAGCCTTGGGGCCAAATCCCAAAATAATACTTTCGTTTCTCAGCTCTCCAGCAACATATGACAGAGGAATTGTCTTCATGGAGACAAAAGGGCTTTGGGGCACCTGCCTGCCTGCACGGCTGATTACCTGGGACGCCACTCTTGCACTTAAGGGGCACGGTGCCTAAGACATGTTCTCAGAAGCAGAAGCTTTTGTCATCTTGTGATTATGTTTTTATTTTCCCTGGAAGTATCCCGGCCTTGTATGCATGCGGTCCTGTCGTGTGACTAGTATAAGGCCGTGTCCTTCTCGGGTGCCACTGGTTTTAGTTGAGAGTCCTGAGCCCTCATGCCCTGCTGACTATGACATTTCCTTGTCTCATGCTTTACTCAACCAAGGTGACCGTCAGCTAATTAATATGTATCGACCTTCCCCAGGGAGCATGGCTCTGGTCAGTTTTTAGTTCTTTCTTTGTTCCTGTGGCCATCTACTGCAGACCCCTACATTCCTCTGAGCTCAAAACTCATGTCGGAAAAAAAAAAAACAAAACCTCACAGCTTCCAATGTTGTTTTCCTTTTCTTCCCCATTTCATCTGACCTACATGGTATCTTATTTTCAGAGTGGTTTCGAGTCCTCTCACTTCCCAAATACACATATGATCTGGAACAAAAATGAACCGGCTCAGTCTCTGTCCCATTAACCAATCACTGGCAGTCCTGTTGACCTTCATCCCCACAGGGCATCCAAGTGAGATGTTTTTGGCTGATGTCCAGCTGTCCCCCTGTATATTCTGCTTCCTTTTCTCCCTCACTGTCTTTCTCCTCAAAATCCTTCTTTCCTGTTCCCTGGACCACTGGCTCTGAACAAAATGTGGAGCTGGCATGTTGGGACCACACTCAGGTTCTCTTCTTCCTTTGTGTTGGACACCTGCCCCAGGCCTGATGTGGTTGTGCTTGAAAGGTATGGTCAGACATCAATCTAAGCCCCGTCTCCAGGGAGAACTGAAGCTCCACTACTTCAGACAGCCAGCAATCTTGTTCTTAATTCTCTCCTGCAAGGACAGTCTCATCGAGGCTTGCCTAGTTAGCTTTTGAAGTATTATTCAAGTGACCTCTGGGTCTCTTTAGACTCAAGACTCTCTGACCCTTGTCCCGTGTGTAAAAAATTCTTATTGAGAAATTAATTTTCGGTGGATAACCCCCAATCAAGTCTAATAATTTGTTGAAATTTTTGTTTTGGTAAAAAAAAAAAGAAAAGAAAAAGACATTTGCTATAGCTTCCTAACTGCAGAGCCTCTTGATCCAAGGGAAGCTGAGTCAGCCATTGAGGGCAGCGTCAATGTTGGCCGAGCAATGGCTTCTTTGATGACAAGCTCAAATTTTCTGTGCAGGTCCCTTTTGTACTTCCCCATCTGTCTGTGTCTGGTCTCATGACTTCTTCAGCATTCTCCTTTAATGCTCTCTCTTCTACTCTGTGATAAGATTCAGAATTGATTATCGTCTGGCTGGAGAATGCTTACTCTCTGCTGGATCTCATTTCTCCTGCCCATCCCTTCTGCTAACCCTTCCTGGCCTGTCTGTCAGACCCCGTCATTTGGAAGAGCTTGCCTGGATCGCTCCGCCTCGTTAACTTTCCAGCCCTTTGCAAACCTCACCTGACAACACATCCTTTCCTCTTCGCCTCTACCCTTAGCTATCAAAGGTAGTTTGCAGGATGGGAGACGGCTCGGCTGGTA